GTCACCGCCGCCGTATAGCGGACAAATTATGCTCCACGTTTTCAGACATTCCATTGATTCGGCTTTAATTCGCTTTTTTTTACAGTCGGATTGCTGCTCCGGTTGTTAATGGTTCGATCGGATCTAATTTTAAGGTGCGCGGATCGTGCGGCGAAACCGCAAAATTGAGAGCTTATGACAAATGAAACCCACGTATAAATAATTGAAGTCCTCCTATGACGGAGAGGAACGCCGCGCGCGATCGATATATCGACTTCCTGTGCGGACACGAGAGCTGGACTAGAGCTAGCTCTGCATCTGTACATATATATCGAACTGTATGTACTGACTCGCACTCGCACAGATCAGCGAGTATATATATATGGCGAGCGAGGACAGCGAGAGACAGAAACCTCAGAGATCATTGCGTCATGAAAATTGAAAGGCCAGAGAGGGAGAGAGAGGCATACATGCCATACCATTATACATATGGCAAATACAATCAGCCCAGAGGGAGAGAGAGGCGAACGTCAAATGTCGCGCGCAGAGCAGAGTCGCGATGCGAATGATTCCCCGGGTTCGATCCCGCGCGTACGGTAAGATTAATATCCACGCCTCATTTGATCCGTCTAATCGCATTTTCGAGAGAGCGAGCGCGAGCACGAGTCCGTATATAACGTGCTCCGGCGAGCGAGCAGCTTGATATGAAGGCAAATGAACCAGAAGGCAAAGAAAAAAAAAAGGTAAACGCGAGGAGGGAAGAGATAGAGAGAGAGAGAGAGAGAAGAATCGTTTCAGCTCGTGTCATCGTCGAGAGACCGCACATTGTACAGTCGATGGGCACTCGAACATAATCCTTTTACACACATAAAGGTACTGTGCAGCCGCGAAGAGAGCGAGAGAGATTCTTGAGGCTTTGAAACTCGAGTTGAAAAAATCTGCCTGGATATCAATTTTCATATTTCTCTCTCTCGCTCGTCCTCGTCGTTGCGGGCTTTGGGGAGCGCGCAAAAGAGGTATATATAATACAGTGAGTGAGGCACATTGACGAGCAGCGAAAAGGGGGAGAGGATTCATCGACGCTCGTGTTTCACGATATAATAATGTATAAATTCTTCTTCTTCTTCTTTCCCTTTTTTTTCTCCCCTTCTTTATTTTTCTTTATCGACGGTTATTAGCCATTTTCACGCGAGTGGAAAATTTCACGGCACACAGGGCTAATAATTGGTTTCTTGCCAACGGTGTATCCTGTGCGTTACATACCTATATATGTTTCACGAGTATACACTGCAAAAACCACAAGAAACCATTACTTTGGTTGCTGCTGTAGTAGCAGCAGCAACAGTGTCCTTCCATTAGCTCTGCGCAGAGACTAATAAAGCTCGTAAAAAAAGATAGAGGGAGAAAAACTTGTCCCGAGCTTTAAAGACGTATATACTAGCAGCGAAAAACGCCAGTGCGATGTATATGAGGAGCGTGTACGCCGCAGCTCTTTCTGCCATACTTGCCAGAGCGAGCGCGAGCGCGCTCCTCGATAATGCAAGAGCCGCTCGCTCCTTTTGGCGAGTGTATACGTACGAGAAAACGAGAATGAAATCCTTCCTCGAGTGAGGTCGCTGCCGCGCGCACGTGAGTTATGATTCCGGATATAAATTACGCGCCTGGGACTACTGCTACTCGTTTGTATCGCATCAATCATGAGAAAAATTTCGAGTTAATTTACCGTAAATGTACTGGAACGAGAGAGAGAGAGAGAGAGAGAGTGGCTCGGCGCGATTTAGTTTTTCCACTTGAAAACAAAAGCGTAAATTCACAGTTCTCGTGTTGAAATGCCGGTCTATATGTATATGGAGGGAGACAGGCTAGTTTGAATTTGTAAACACGAGATGGCTCACTTACGAAAAATCGTAAACGTACGACTGAAGTAATCAAGAGCGTAGATTATAACACTCAGCCAGTGAGAGCTACTTGCCTTATCTTTAAAAGGCCTTGTTTTAGTCTCGAATTCCTGGAATTGAGGTTTTAGGGAAGGAGTCCTTTTCAATCAGCCATACCTCAGTGACATTTTATATTGTATTTACTTTACAATTACATAAAAAATAAAGTCTCAATATCGAAAATTAATAAAGCAGTACTAATATTAATATCAATATATTGCATACTTACTTGACCAAAATGTGAATTTTCAAGTGAAAACTTGAATGTTGTTTTTATTTAATGAAATTCAAGTACGACACTTGCATTAAAAGTAACGCACTTTGTTGAAAAATAAGAAACCTCGTTGTATCGAGGACTATGGCGAGTGCATTGAAAATACCTCGTCTTTTAGCTCATTTTTTCAGGTATGGAGTTGTACGTAAGTTACCGCTAGATGGCGTATGGCCAAGTTTGTAGAAACCAAAAGAGAAAAAGGAGAGCCTTAGCATTAAGTAAGAAAGATTTTTCTGAACGATTTAGAAAATTTCTTTCTGGGTTATAGGTCATACGATCGCATAAAAAAGTGCGCGAGGCGTGTTGATTTTTTTACAGTGCGTTGTATATCAAACTCCTCGATTGTATACATGCCCATACGGCTGCCCGTAGTCATCGCGATCTCTCGCGGCATTCCGCGCGCCATTTTTCCGGCCGGTCGAGCGAGTATCGAAGAGCAGTATGTGACGAGGTCGGCGAAGAATATAAAACGGACCAAAAAGACTAAGAAAAAAAAAGAAAAAAAACAGAATTAAAAGAATAAATGAAAATTACTGTGTGACGTTTCGGTATGTGCGGTGTTGTTGCTACTGCGCACGCAGCGAGGATGACAAAGTCGCGCGAGCTGTATACAGCAATGGCGAAGAAAAAAAAATTTCATCTTTGTGTTTATAAATTATCAATTGCGCGGTTCGGCGCTATATATGTATGTAAAACGCGATTAAACATTAATCGCGCCTGTCTACATTTCTCGCACGATACACAAAAGAGAGAGAGAGAATGAGAGGGAGAGGCAGAGAGAGAGCAAAAAGATAGCGATTGACAATAATATAATTGAAACGAGCTGCGGTGCTGACGAACGTCCGCACATTGCCGCGTATGATAATAAACGCACGCAGGCGCGCGTGCATATATATTATATATCTCGCATTATGATACACACTGTGGGCGTTTATAATATTATTATGCAGGCGCGGCGCTTGTGCACACAGAGTTATGCGTTCCATCGCGCGCCCTCTTGCTTATCGTCGCGCCGATAACGCAACGAACTTTTGGTATTTTTATAATTACGTGTTTTATATTTTTTCCTTTTCTTATTGCAAATCTGGCGAATGTTATTTCATACATTTTATCGCGTACGCGTGTGCGGGGGGCGGCGTTGTTACATATTATCATACGCCGCATAATACAGACGCGTTACAATCGCGCATTTTGCATTTTCGAGGAGGTAGAAAAACATATTTACCCGAATCGTCAACGAGACAGAGAGAGAGAGATCGCAAAACATCGCGGCCCGAGCTTTATTACGGATATAATGAATCGGAGGCTCTCTGACCCCTCTTTCGTATACACATTGTGTTACGTGCTACGTGTGTGTATGTATGTACACAGCGCCGATGCGTTGAAGAGGTTCAAAAGTTTGCCACCGCCGCCGCGATTGTCGGTGTTCAACGCGGCGCGCAGAATCTCTCCGATATATATACCATGCATACTGTATACGTATACGTGTGTCCCTGTTTTCATTTCATCAGGCTCTAGGCTGCTACGGCAGCGGCAACAGCAGCAGCAGCATATAGGTACACGTTTCGGTATTATAATCCATCCGCGCTATATCCTCGCTATCGTGCTGCAGCCCAGCGGGGGAGGAGGGCATTGTTCTCTCTCTCTCTCTCTCTCTCTCTCTCTCTCTCTCTGGCTCCCTCTTGTGATATACATAATGTTGGTCCGCGCAAACATGGCACACATGTATTATGTAGCAGTATATATATATATATAGGCAGAGACAAACACACAGTTACACTATGTATAGGTGCGCGAGAATAAATGATCGACGTATTTTTCGCCCTCCTCCTCCTCCTCCTCCTTCAACGAATACGTATGCTTGATGCCTAGCGCAGATTGATTGGAAATTGATATGTTTATTGTTTATACCGCGTACATCGGGGCGCGCGTAGCAATCAATTTGGCAAACCGCAAACGATAACAAATATACACGCGCTTATATGCAATGGAATATATCCTTATATACTCGCAGCTTAGGCCTGCCTGCCTGCTCTCTGCCACGCGTACATATATAATGCCGTGCAGTGCAGGAAAACTTCAGCTGGAGTCCGACCAGCTCCATTTCTATGTATATGTTTGTATGTGTGTATGTGTGTGTGTGAGTTTATACGAGCCTGGCGCTGTACTGCAATAGAAACGGTCCCTCTCTCTCTCTCTCTCTCTCTGCTGTGCTGTGTTGCGCTCTGCACGCGCGGAAAAGCCGAGTAAATACAAACAAGCGTCGGCGGCGCCGGCGTCGGTGGTTGCAGTTATAACGACTCGATCAATCTCATCAACTTATACCAAACATGTAGATATAACTATGTACTGACTGTGTAAGAGAAAGAGAGAGAGATAGGGAGAAAGCAATTGCCCAATGTCTCTTAAAAGCAAATCGATTTTCATTATACACACACATACACACATTTGTCTGTGTGTAGTTTCTTCTCTAATAAATGTTATTTTTATTTTATTTAAAAACCCTTTGTTAGCATACAAAAGCGACTGTCAACAAAACACAATCTATAGTCGAATTATTACTTTTGTTCAAAAGCATGTACGTGTTGATATGGCATGAGATGATCATTATACGAATACGCATCATTGTATTTATCCCAATATTTACATTATAATACGTACAACATTATAATATCATCATCATCATCATCAATATTGTTTCCTTTCCAAACACATCTCACACATAAACACACATAAATACATAATAAAATTAATTTCAATCACGACCTCGATACTTATCATTATTATTTCTTTTCGTTTCATCGATGCAGTTACCAGTGGGCGGGGGTGGCGGTGCCGTGCTGGTTCTCAGCGAGCTCGAGGGCATGGCCGCGCGACAGCAGCGGGAGATCGCCCAGCAGCGTCGACTCCTCGAGCAGCGCGAGGCCCGTCTCGCTCTTCTGCGCGGCGCACAGGTAAGATCATCAACATTATTATTATTATTATTATTACCACTCAATTATTATATCTTTGTGTGCTGCGCGCGATGAAACACACGCATGCGGCTATAACGCGCTGAAAATTCTTGGCCGATGAGCGAAGCAGCAGCGGCAGAACCTTTATCCACTTCCGGCCTATAGCGAGAGAAAGAGAGACATTTTTGGAAAGGATTTTTATTTGTGCGATCTGTATATTATATACACGCGCATACTTTGTGCATCGTCCTTAGCCGCGCGAAGAAAAACAGGTTTTTCCCCGTGAATCATAAATATTCATACTTAACGATGGTGTTTCTCTCTCTCTCTCTCTCTCTCTCTCTCGCGGCAGTAGTAGTAGTAGTGGTAGTAATAGTAGTCGCGTATACGCACCACTATCTTCAGATATTAACATTAATATAAATATATTACGGCGATATCTATGTTGGCTCCTCGAGGCTGCTGCTGCCGCCGCCGCATCGCCGCAGCCTCTCTGTACCGCTGCTTCACGTATTTCATCCGATGGCTTAAAAAGTTTTAGAATTTCGTATACGCGCGCCGCGCGCATATACACGAGCTCGTAATACCTTTACTACGAGGGCAAGTTTGATTTATCTTTGCCGCAAGCTCTCTACTCGTGCCCCAGTAGTGGTAGTAGTAGCGGGGCAAGAATTTATTCTATATATATTTCAATTGTTGCAAAGTTTTGAATTTTACCCTCGGTTGTGTAGTAGTAGTAGTAGTACTACTACTACTACTATACAGCTTGGCCAATAAAAGTATATATGACTTCCTTGCCGAATGCCTTTTGCTGCCCTTATATTGGCCCGAGTCATGTGTGCGCGTGCGGCAATAGCCACTTTTCTCTTAAATTCGATTTGCCCTAAATCTCGAATGAAAACATCGAGGAAAGAGTGAAAGAGAGAGAGAGAGTAGAGCTTTTGCTGCTGCTGCTGCTCCCTGGCCAACGTAAATATGGGACATTTAAGGGAAAGAAAGATAGAGAGAGAGCGAGAAAAAGTATAAAAAAGAAAAACCGACTACTTGCTTTGCATGTAAAAACGTTCCCTCGAGCCCATCGCGTGCGGGGACTATACTACGACTACTACTGCTTCTATATACCAGACTTCACTCGTGCGCCGCGCTACAAGCCGAGGAGCCGAGGATATATATACCTATATAAAGTTTAAAAGCTCATTAAAAGGCCTCGCCACTGCAGCAGCAGCAGCAGCAGCACAGAGAGACGGGAAGAGACTCGCGATGTAAGTTCCCAATCGAATCGGCTCCCCGAAAGTGAATCGTCAAAACTTTCGTATATTAACTTTTGATTAATGATATATCTCGAGAGCCCCGTGCGCGGAAGAGGAGACACGCGCAGCAAACGCGTGTCCCAATTATTATCGAAAAAAAGAAAAAAAAATGTCTGCCGAGTAAGAAAAAAAAAGCTCTCGAACCTTCGCGTTGAATTACGTACCCACCCTCTCGCATCACACGCCGTAGTAGCAGTAGTAGTAGACGTCAGCGGAGAGAGAACGAGAAGTCATTGTCGTTGTCGGCTCTGCTCTCTCTCTACTGCTGCGCTTGATGGGGTACAATTACAGTTACGGAAAACCCGCAAGCTCGGGCGCAGCGCGGGCTCAGAGTCGGAGGGATTAGTCTCGCTTTAAACGTCTAATTCTAATTAGAACTCGGTTTTTGGGGGGTGGTAGAAGAGTGAGCCGAGGCTGCGCGCCTACAGCATAATAATTATAACACGCGTGTCCCGACTTCGTAAAGCAGCTCGCAGCGCAGCTTTATACTGCCTATACTTATACGTATAATATTCCCTACGATTGTCTGCAAAAGTTACTCGAATCTTACGTATATATTATACATATAATATATAATATAACATGCCGATAAAACGTTTTGTACTTGTACGTATATAGTGTTATACAGCATAAATTATTTTATATATACGCTTATATCGCGGCAAAAAATTTCGAACGTTATAGAAATTTTTCATCCATTATCGGACTCGAGCATACGCGCGCAAATTTACACGATATGCAGCTGCACACTCCTTGACAGTGCATTATTTATCGCTAGCCGCCGCTGCAGCTCTTGTGCACCACTCGAGCATTGAAGTTCTTTTATCAGTTTACTCTCTCTCTCTCTTGGCTCGGCTCTCGGCGCGTGTAGATATACTTGCACATAATACCTGAAAAGTATCAGTTGCGCGCGCGTGTTTATTTTGCCCTGAAAACGAAGAATAATATTAACAAAAAAGAGAGAAGAAAATATCGAAATAAAATGAAATACAAAAATATTAAACTCCGACGATATGTACAATTTATAAAGTACATTTATCAACAGGCCGCGTTTGATTACGAGTGGCAAGAGAAGAAATAGCGAGAGAGCTGAGTCGAGGAAAAATAATAAATATTTTTATAATATCGTGTACAAAACCCGTCGAGATAAGCCGCATTTGATTGAAGGTATAGTGTATGTATACACGACGACGACAAATTGAATGAACGCGGAATATAAAAATGAAAAAAAAACGACGTCCTCGATTCTTAATTCCCATTATGAAGTCGCGGAGCGCGCACTTTTTTTTTCTTTACTCTTTCCTTTTTTTTTTTATTATTCGTCGGACAATTTTCCTCAGAGCGAGCAAAATTACGCGAGAGCTATAAAAAAAATGAAGTCAACAGAGAGAGAGAAAGAGACAGAGAAAAATATATAGAGTGCGTGGGGGGCTATATATAACTGTGTGCGCGATCGAGTGTATATATAAGGTCGAACTGCGTGTGCGCGCGGCTAGGAAAAGGAAAAGATACGAGCGCGACAAGATTTGCTTTTATTTCCAAGTTCAATAAGTTCGTCTCTCTCGCTCTTTCTCTCGACCGAAGCTTTTAAAGCTACTCCTCGGGGCGCTCGTCGCTAATAAGTCGAGGTATAGCGGTAGCACTGCCTTCAAGAATGGAGAAGAAAGAGGAGGAAAAAGCACTTCTTTAAATGGGATCGATCTCTTTTTCCCGCGGACATAAAAAGTAATTAAGACTTTTTGACTGGCCTTTCATCGGGTCCGAGCGCGCGTAGTTATAGTATACGCGGGCGAACCGCCGCACGCGGGGCATTTTTCTTTATCTGCGCGCGGTGATACTTTCCTTTAATGCTATTATTGTATATATAGCCTGCAGCAGCAGCGAGCCGCGGCCGATCCCGCGGCTAATTGAAAATAACGCGAAAAACAAGTTTTAATCTCTGTCTCTCTCTGTCTTTCTCTCGGGCCCGCGAGCTTAAATGCGCGTACACACACATATATATCCCACGCAGCGGAATATATACTTTTTTAATTAACCTTTTATCTCTGTCTCTCTGCGTGCGTATACGTCCTTTGCTCGGCGAGCTCAAGAATGTAATCGAGTTTATATTTGTATATGTGCGAGAGAGAGAGAGAGAGAGAGACAGAGTTCGCGAAAGTTTTGAAGAAAAACTTTTAATGCCGCTTGTCTGAGTCTGTGTGTGGGTTCTTGACCCAACCTCCTTCTCCTCCACCGCGACGACGACGACGATGATAATTTTGGGAGAAGGTGGAGTAGTGGGAGGAATCAAGAAAAAAAAATATGCGTATTATTGACTCTCCTGCGCAGCGCCCTATCGTCGATTCATTAAATCATATCGTTGTATATGCGTACTCACGCGTGTGCACGTTTGTCATATTATAAGCACACACGCACACACACGCCTACCATCTCTAAACGACAATGTATATAATTCCAATCGAGCGACGTGCGCACGCCCTTGGATTATTACATTCGCGTCGTGTATCAATGCCGCACGTAATCCCTTCGTATTTGTGCGCGCGCGTGTGTGCGGAGGAATGTATTATAAAAACCTGCGTGTGGTCTCCTCGTTATACGCAGAGTCGTATCATTATATTATTCCGCGGTTCCGCGATTCATTCGAATATTATCGGCCTTCGGCAGAAATTATATTATTGTTCGTCGCTGCCGCTGCTGTATGAGTGCGGGTACACGTATTACACTCGGCAGATTTCGAGCTTTCAAAAACTAAACGCATATCTCTCTCTCGACGCTGGGATCTTTCCCCACGCGGACTTGAATAGAGCCTCTCTTTCAGATTCTTTCGCTTCGCCGCTGCTGGAGCTCTCATCACACGCGTGTTATATATGCTATGCAAAAAAGGAAACTTTATACTCTAGCGTCGCTTTTTCCACACGCGGTATGTATGTCTGTGTGTGGGTGTGTTAGCATTGCGCGGCTTTTGCGGATGAAAGGTGAAAAATATTTTTTAGCGAAATTAATTTCTTCTCTTTTTCGACTCGCGCTTGCAAGCTCGACTCTGCACGTGCAAGCTCTCGCGCAGCGAGCTCCCAAAAGCAGCAGCAGCAGCAGCTTCGGAGCTTATATAAATGTAGCAGTTCCACACACAGGGAGAGAGAGAGAGAGAGTCATATCAATCTTTTGCGGGGACCCAAAAGCTTATATATATAACCCCTTCAGTTAAAACACACACACACACATACACGGGTATTAATATATGAAAGGCGCGCGCAGCTCATAGCAACATTTTAATCAAACCTGCGACACGCTCGCGCAGAATGTGCCGCTGCTCGGCCAGTCGAGAAATGTTTTAGCCCCCTACACTCACTCGGGGGCGCTCCAAAATTCTCATTCCTCATTGTGAGCGTCGCTCTATTCTCTCTCTCTCTCTCTCTCTTACTTTCCGCATTGAAATTCAAATTTTTCCACTTCAGCTGGCTTTTGCGCGGCACGCGTATAAGTACATATCTATACGTATATACCGCGTATACCACATCTCATTCCTCGTCTGCCGCTAGCTGCTAGCTGCTAGTGTAGCCGAGCGCGTGCACGACGATCAGCGTAATCCTCCGGTATTAGATCCATCTCCCATCCGACAGAATGAGATTTTACTTTCTTTCCGGCTGTGCTGCTGCTGCACCGCTGCACGACTAGCAGCGAGCCGAAGCGCACCGTGGCGGCGGCGCCGATCTTTATTTTAACGCGTTGAAAGCTATAGCAGCGCAACATGGTATTAAAAAAAAAGATAGAAATAAAACGAGGAAAATAAAGGAGGAAGAGAGAGAGCGAGGGAAAAAAAGGTCGAGAGGAAATTGTTTGGCGCGCGCGCGCGGTATGAATTACTCCAGCGGAGATTTTCTTAATTAAGTTATATCAGGTAGCAACGGTTTGAAGTAGCCACTCGTGGCTCTCGACGATCGAAACTGTTGAACTCGACAATTATAAATGTAGCATAATATAATGAATTATGTAAAATAATATATAGTAATATATTGATTTTCGTGCTTATCGTTACAGGAGCCGGCGCAGCAGGAGAGGCTGGCACGACTCAGGCACCGGCTCGATCAACAGCAGAGCAAACTCAACAGACTGAGGTTACTCAGATCGCAAACGGACGCCTCGAGAGCCAACAATGCTACCCTCAGTGAGTATAGTATACAGTAAAGTACAGTGCAGTATATACACATGCATGCGCGCATCTCCGTGCATTAATGATATAGGTATATGGAGTACCCACCCACACAGCAGCACAACAAAAGTGGAGAGCTTTTCTCTTTCTAAAGTGAATTGGATATCGAGCGCGGATAAGACGGTCCCGGACGCACGCGCGCTAATAGTTATTACGTTCCTCTGTTCTCCTCCTTTTTCCTCCACTCGTGCTTTTTTTTTTTTTATTTTTTTTTATTTGTGCGCTTGAGAGTAGCCAAAGCTCCAGGGCAGTGGCAGGTGCCGCGCTGCTGTTTGTGTAATCTCTCGCTTCGAAAAATCCCTATCTCTTATTCGACGAGCCGACCGATCGACGGCCAGCTTCCCGTTTCTGTGTGTGTGTGTGTATTATATAAACACAAAAGCTCACGCACAGGACTTCGATTTTGTTTATATATATAGACAGCGTATAGCGTCTATAGAGGCATCAGAGAGAAGAGAGAAAATTCGAAACAATCGACGTGCTAAAATAAATAAGAAAACTTTTCATTGGGCTTAAGACTAGGCTATATAACTTATACTACTGGTTGCTGCTGCTGCTGATGCTGCTTGTGATGCGCATTTAAACGGCGAATAAATAAATATATATCTATATCGTTAGCGAGAGAGAGAGAGAGATCGCGTTCCGAATCCTTCCCGACTCGAGTCGACGCGCGCGCGGGCAATAATCCATCGAAATCCTCGACGCTGCGAGTGTCGGGCGGGGCTTAAATGTATATATACTTGGAGGCTATCATTATTCCTCGAGACAGGCTAACATGTTCATTAAACACGGCTCTGTACAACGCGTTCATTATACACACACGTACGTACGTACGCCTATATCATACAGATGAGACTAGTTCAATCGGATCAATGCCTCCTATATATATGCATGCTTAATTTCCTGCGATCATCCCCCTTTTAGCTCGGATAGTCGTCGTAGTCGCGGCCCGGCGCGAAGAGCTAGCTGCAGAGCAGAGAGAGAGACCTACATATCGATCGTCAATCGTTTAAGGAGTCGCGTTGCCGCTGCTGTGCAGAGAAGCTTTGTGCAGCAGCCGGGAAAATGCCAGCAGCAGCAGCTCGTCGCGGGAGATTGCTTCGGCTGCATTATAATACTACTCGCGCCAGCTATTATACACGGCAGTGTCGACTTTGATGCCTTCACGCGTCGCCGGTGTCGCGCGCCTCACACATACCTACACGGACACACAGTACACACACACTAACCAGGGCCAAGTTTCTAAATGGGGTTGCCGCGCTCGCGCGCGACGTGTTTGATTGCACCGCGAGACGAGCACAACGTCGTAGTCGCGGAATGCACGATGGGTATCGAATAAACGTTTCCGCCGAGCCGAGTATGTGTGCCACTGCGTACATATGTAGCAGCTATCTCTTGAATTACAGACGGAAAAAAAGAGAAGAAGTTGAGAGGATACGACTTTTTTTTAAATAAAAGTTACAGGCCTTGGCATATTTTCGTCAATAATAATAATAAAAATAATAATAATAATAGTAACAATAAATGGAAGTGATTGGCTTTTATTGCGGTATAAAGAAAATTTAACGCGTCGAACGAGAAAAAAAAAGAGAGGCCCACCACCGCGGCACACGTGGAATAACAAACGATTACGACGTTTTACAACAAAAGCTCCTCTCTCTCTCTCTCTCTTTTCTATCTGCCGAGCCGTGCGCAGAGCTATATAATAACATATATAGGCCGGGCACAGTGCGCATTGGAAAAGCGAATTTTCCTGCGTGTGTTCGCTGGTTCCGCTTAAATCTTCCACTATTTTATATTCTTCTATGGTATCCAGCGCACAGAGACACAGAGAGAGAGAGAAAGAGAGGACAGACAGACAGATAGAGGAGAGGGTAGGAGGAAAAAAGCCCCGCAGGATTTAGGGATGCGAACGGATACGCGCGTATTATTTTATATGAGGACGCTGGGTTGAACGAAAGAAAAAAAAGAAAAAAGAAAAAAAAAGGTAAGGAGGACTACAATGATTCCGCGCGGCGTACATCAAGGTCGCTTATTACAAGCTCGTGGAATGTCGGCTGTTGATCGCGAGGCATGTAATGGTCTCTCTCTCTCTCTTCTCCATATATACGCCGCGGCGATGACGAATGTTGGCCTTGAAAATTACCTCCGCGTACACACATATCCCTTTATTTGATTTTTTTTTTCGTGCTTCGCTCGGCTCAACGTTCGTGCCCGTGAGCTTGTCTCTTTGTTAAACTCATATATGGATTATATGAGTCTATAGGACGTGCGCCGCGACTTTCATGAGCTTTTCTGCAGCGCGCGCAACTCTGCAAAACACATTAAATTTGCATTTTAAACTTTTCTCTCCGCGAGCTGCTGCTGCACACGACGACGACGAGGACGACGCGGGCCGGCACAGTGCTGCAGCGCTGTGTGCCGGTGTATTATTAAATAGTATTATACCAAGAGACGGCGGCAGCGGCAGCAGCTGCAACAGGAACCGAAAAAAGAGAGAGAGAGCAACGAAACTTCCGTAATTTCTTTTACCTCATTGTCGTCGTTGCTTTTCCTCTCTCTCCTTATGATTCCGCTAAACGTATTTACGACTCCGTAGAACGAAGAGAGAAAAAAAAGCGCGCGAGAGGAAAGAAAAGAAAAGGGGAAAAAAAAGTCAACCGGGCAACGGGAGTTATACGCCCTTGCGCGAGAGCTGAAAGTAAGCATCTCTCGCTCTCTCTCTCTCTGTGTTGCTCAATTTTTGCGCTCTCAAGCAGGCAGGCAGGCAAGGCACGCGCGGGAAATGATCGAAAAGTCGAGCTGCCTGCTATTTCATTAACTTCAAAGGCTATATACGCTCGGTTGCGATGCATTACATAAAAGGGCACATTTTATAGATTATATATCTATATTGTAGGTGAGCCCATGAGCGTTAAACTGCTCAGTCAGGATAGAGAAAAAAAAACAAAAGTGAATCGAAAGCAACAGCAGCAGCAGCACAAAAGAAAACTAAAGGCCGATGCGCGGGAGGAAAGAGAGGGAGGGAGAGGCAGCTCAAGATGAAATTAAACAGACATCGTAAAGGGAAACTCGGTGCGCGTTTTTGCCGACGTTTTTGTTTTCTCTCTCTCTCTCTCTTATATTGGCTCGGTACGGAGCAATCCTTTTCTTCGACTTCCTCTGTGCTCTTTTATCGGTTTCGCGATTATTTTTCATTGCGATCGCACACATATAATATCACACGCGCGTTTATGTATTTGTTGTATATTATTGACTCGAGGTATAAGGTTTATCTTAGCGCCTCTCTCTCTTTCTCGCGAGCTCATACCAATGGCCATTATTCCTGCTATACTTTTTTTTATTGTTTATACGTCGATATCGCCGTATACATAAGTGCGTATCCTACTTTTCTACTCAACCGAAGTCGAGACTGTACGCCATCGCGCACGGTCGTCGTCGACGTGCATACAATAAAATATACGCCTTGGTGAGAGAGACAGACGAAGTACACCACCACCGATTCGCTGTTGAAACGTACGTAGTACTACTATACGCCGCAGGAATATCTCTGTCTGTCTGTCTGTCTCTGTGTTCTCTCGTATATATAATACGCCCCCGAAGAGAGTCGATACGATATGCGCGAAGCGTCTTTCAATTCGAGAAACCTATGTAGGGCTGCGGCAGAGAGAGAAAGATTGAATTCAACTCGCTGTTGTATTTATGTATGTGTGCGTTATTTATTATGTAGGTCAATGTAACGACGCGACGCGATTGATAAAAACAAAAAGTTCAGAAGGCAGGAGGTGATACGATCAATTATGTCCTCGTTCGATGAAGCGAGGCTACTAGTTTTCCACAACGCGATGAAAAATGAACGAGTTTTTGAAAATATACGTGTATAATTTCGCTCGCTCGCTCGCGAAATAAGAAGGAAGAAAAAAAAAGGAAGAAGGAGATGAAGGAACAGGCGTATCATCCGCATAGCTACGTGTCAGACGCGTATCCTCGACTCTCATCCCCGGGCCCCTTTTTCCTGCGCGCGCGCGCTGCACTCTCGAGAGAGATAACCTTTTCTTAAAAAAAAAAAAAATAAAATAAGAGGCGAGGTAAGGCGAGGAATGAAATAAAAGAAACGAAGAGAAATGAAATGCGTGTGCTCTCGGTTTTCAGAGCTGACTGCTGCTGCAGCTCGGGCGAAATATATAATATAATAAAATAAAATATAAATAAAAAAGTAAAGATGAGACGCTCGCGCGCGCGCGCTTTCGTCTCCGCGCGAGCATGGAAAATGACAGTAATCAGAGTCAACCGCGAGCAGCGACAGCAGAAGTTATAAGTGCAGGTGTTGTTTTCGTCTTCGTCGTCATCGTCATCGCCGCCGACCATATAATACACTCGCACCTCGGAGCTTTTATTTTTTCTTCTTCTTCTTCTTATTTTTATTTTTCATACGTGTCGTTGTGCCGCTGCCGCCACTGCGCGCTCGCTAGACGAGAAGTATCGCTTTCTTTATTTTTCGTCATCGTTGATTTTCTCAACCGTATGCGGATTATTTTTTATTTTTAAATCGAATATAAAATGAGAAAAGTAAGCACCGACGGTGGCCGACGCTGTTAAGAGAAACGAGAGAGAGAAAAATCCATTTTCTTAGAGCGCACGAGAGCGAGAGGATGTGTAAATGCACCAAAAATTGTCCAAATTCTTCGCGCTAGAGCGCAATATTCTCGTGTACGCCTTGTTTATATACTCACTTTTTTCTCCCCACGAAACAATAGCAGCACCGCGATCCCTCAGTGCGCGGTTGAAGAAAAAAGCTTTTCGCTGATGTACGCGAAATAGCTCACGACGGTACCCGCGCGTCGACGATCCGTACTTATACGTATACAAAGGCGCGCTCGCAAGCCCGTAGAGTACATTTGTCTATTTATACGCGCAGATAAGAGCCTCTCGCGGGAGCTGCTGTTGCTACTATGTGCAAAGTTTGTACATATATAACGTATGTATACACATCTTACGACGCGCGCGGACAAAGGCAAAAATCAGCCGAGAGCCAAGAGAGAGATGTTAATTATCGTCCGCGAGTTTATCCCTTATCGTCCCGCCGAATTATTTACGCGGCGCGCTGTATATGTATGTACGTTTTGACAGTTGCGCCGGGGCGCAATATTATTGTTGTTAATTAGCGATGCAACGTGAAAATTGTGCCCCGCTGCTGCTACTGCTGCCTCGTGCATAATAAACGAGCCATAGCTGCTGCTGCTGCGCGCCAACAACACACTGTCTGTCTGTAATGCGTCCGCGATTTTATATAAAATGAAAACTATTTTGCTCGTCCCGGCCTCCCCTTTTCCACCACCGACAACAGCCATCATTGAATTATATTTTCCGACGCAGACAAAACGTAAATAATAAACAGCGGCAGAGCCAGCCTGCCCTATAGCGAGAACGAAGAAGAAGATGTGCAATCTTCTCCCGAAATTACCGTAGCTATTGTTGTCGCTGCTGGTGCTGGTCGCGAGAATGAATTTTAAATCGAGTTATATGCGCGACACGGAGCTTGGAGTTCTTGGCTGCTTCTGCTACTGCTGCAGAGCTGTGTGAGAGAGTAAGGTCTTTTACGCCGCACGACGACGACGACGACGACGACGACGACGATGAGAAAAAAGAGAGAAGAAGAAAAAGAAAATCGCAAGACAGAGCGAGAAATTGAATTTTTACGACGTGTAATATAAACGAAGCTCTGGGAAATTAGATTCTCATACGCGACGACCTGCAACAAGTTGTATCTCTCTCGCGTGTGTGCGGTGCACAATGTATGTCGCGTTGGCCCCGTACCATATACATATACCGTGATATACACGTATTAAAACCGTGTGTGCTGCTGCTGTTGCTGCTTCTGGCAATCGAAAACTCGATTATAACGTACACGTAATGTAACATAATGCGATATCGGATAGACTGGGTGCGAATTATTTTTTCACGGACGAAAAAGCAGGAGGCCAATTAAAATTTTCCAGCAGCAGCTCGATAATAATAATAATAATAAAATTAAAGGGTTATTGCCTCGCTCGAGGAGGAAAGAATCTTTGCATTAAAGACGTTTTTAAATCGATCGCCGGCCTTTATTGAATATCTCGCGTTCGTACACCTCTCATTACAAAGCGCGAGAGGAGAAAGAGGAGGAGGAGGAGGAAAGGAAATAGTTTATTGCTGCTTTTCGCGCTCGCGCTATGCGGTGTTATAATACAAATGGAAACGAGACAGTTATACACCGAGAAAAAGAGAGAGAAAGAACAAAAAAAATAAAAATAAAACAGGGAAAAGTGACCCGGCCGCGTCTCTCACTTTCGTCGGTTTAAAGTTTTTCCCCGGTCGCCGTAAAAAGTTATACGCCACACCGAGAGAGAGGAACTTGGCACCGCGCAACCGGATGCACCGCGTGCAAAAAGAAAAAAAAGAGAGAGAGACGTGTAGAGAAGAGTATAAGGAAAAATATCTAGTGTACCATTGTCGAGAGCTTGCGAGAAAGTGCATCGAGATTGAATTTCGAGTCAGCGGCCTCTTTCTCTCCCTTTTTTTTGCTCTCTCTCGCTTCCACATAACCTAAGGTACACATATATATGCGAGATTCGGCGTTGTGTATTTAAAATCGCTCATAAGGGGAAAAAAAGGGTCTAGGAGAGACGTTTCAAAAAGTCCTGCAGGCGTGTATATAATGAAGGATATCGAGAAAGAAGAAAGAGAGAAAAAAAAATTCAAGTGGAGAAAATAATTCACTGAATAACGGATTCGAGAGCTATCAGCTCGCAGCAGCCGAAGCATCGAGTACGATTGATTTTCCCCCGTGGCGAAGCACGGCATAGCGTATACGCGCGCGCGCAGCGTCGAGTGAGCTTTGATACGCGCAAAGAAACGGACGTTCGAGAGGCGAGGGCAAAAAAAACTTGGAAAATGCCTCGTGAGCTTTGTGCCCCCTTACATAATTCACCTAGATATACATGTGTATACGCCTAGTGCGTGTACGCGGTTTTTTTTTTTTTTTTATATGCATGCGAAACGCATACGCAAAATGAACGCGCGTGTATAGCCGCCGTGGTTATAAAGCAACCGATAAAAATCCATCCGAGCGATGAAACAGATCGCCGCGAGTTTTTCATCATTCTCGCAACAAAAGTTATCGTCCGATCGTCGCGCTCCGTCCGTGTGCGATGTGTCGCTTGTGTGTCGTGGTGGTTGGAAGCCAATATACTTCCCTTTTACACAATGTAAATGAAAAACAACGAAAAAAAAAACGAGTTTATTCGCGGTACGAGCCAAAAAGTAAAAAAAAAATAAAGGATGAAACAAAAAAAGCTTCGCTCGCCCTAAACAAAAGCGCGCGGGGATGTATACGCGCGTTCGTAAATCCCTTATGCTTTTTTATTCCCCCGTTGTTGTCGTCGTTACTGTGTTCGCGTTTAGCGAGAGGCGAACGCGTGTTATGCTGCTGCCGTTCGTTGGATCTGAATTTATATTTTGCATGGCGCGATCGCCGATACACAGGATGTATATATAGGAGAGAGCTGATCGACGCGAGCTGCCAGCAGAGAGAAAGAATTTTAATATTTTAAGCGCTGTTTTTGACATGCCACTGAATTAGTTAAGTCGCGCGCGTTATATAGTCGACCGTGTGCAGCGGAAGCCGCACCATCGCCGCCACCGCCACGCTATAAGCCACGAGTATTTTTCAATTAAAAACTTTTCAATATAACTTATAATTACTGTATCGAAAACTTCCTCCTCCTTCCTCTACCCCCCGCCCTCTGGGTTTCAAGCATCCCGGCGCGCTCACGGCTTATAAGTAATAATTTTTTGAATAAAAGTTGCTGCGCAGTCGCTAGCAAAAAAAGAAAACGAGACAGAAATCGATGTCGGTACATTATATTCTCTCTTACGCGCTGACTCTCGTGCACAAAAGGAAGACCGCACGGAACGCGAACTTTTACTTTTGCTCGCGCGATCATCGATGCTCCGGCTATCGATCCACACACACACCCCCGCGCGCTTACGAGGATAGAGAGATGATAATGCGTCGTTGTACGGCGCGCCCGTGTTAAATTCCATTTTCATGCATGCCCGCGCGCGTCGTCGTCGCGCGTCTTCAAAGTAGAATTTAATACCTCTGCCATGTGCAGTACACACAAAAGCTTCGCGCTTGTACACACGTGTGTTATATACAGGAGAGAAAGAGAGAGAGATGGGGTTATCGACGCAGTGAAATACCGGCACGCGTGCCTTTGGTTCGTGTACCTTACTATTTCGTGCTTTTTCGTTCTTTCCCGTCCGGGCACGTACATACTTAATGCTATATACTTGAACATTAAAAAAAAATCTTGAACTTACACACGTTTTTACACCCCCTAATTGCGTTTTTCCAGCATCGGACCTGGACTGCATCAGGGCTCTGTTCAACGAGAAGGAGAAAGAGCTCTCGCTGGCCGTGGCCAAGGTGGAAGAGCTGACGCGCCAGCTCGAGGACCTGAGGGGCAGACACGGCAATCAACCGGGCCACCTGCCCAGCGCCGCGAGCGCGGAGCTCGAAAAGCTCAGGCGCGAGCTTCTCGTGAGTATTGCACCCTTTTCTTTCTTTTTTTCATTCATTCGTTCGCGAACCGGCTGTGTGTGACATCTCTCTCTGCTTTTTAGTACCGCAACAAAATGAACGAGCAGCAGAATCAGGTGGTGTCGCAGCAGCGCCAGGCCCTCGTGCAGCGCCAGGCCGAGATGGCCTCGATCGACGCCAAGATAGCCCAGCTGCAGGGCCGACTGCAGCGCAAACGGGCCCTCAATCAGCGACTGAGCCAGCAGCTGGCTCAGCAGCAGCAGCAGTCCCAGTCCCAGCAGCAGCATAATCCAGCGCCCGGACAGCTGAGCGGGCACCACAATCAACAGCAGCACAACAACAACAACAACGCCATCGTCAACAATCGACAGATGACGAGCGCTGAGAGCCCGACCAAGCTCGGCGGCATGGGCACGAACAAGCTCAGGCCCGCGGGCAACATCGCCGCGATCGAGCCCTACTCGCACATACCCAACGACAACGACGGCAGCGGCGGAGGAGGCGGCAGCGGCGGTGCCTTCAGCCTCAACAAGAACGATCCCAAGTACCAGACTCTGCCCTACAACACCAAGTTCACGGTGAACTTCAGCAAGACGTCGCAACAGCAGCAGCAACAGCAACAGCAGACGTCGAGCGACGACGATGTCAACAAGAACAAGATTCAACAGCAGCAACAGCAGCAGCAGTTGCAGAGTCAGCAACAAGGTAGTGGTGGCGTTGGTGGTGGTTTGAGACAGCAACAGGCGCCCCAGCCGTACGGTCATCAAGTTGTTCACAGTCAGACGCAGCAGCATGTCCAAGGTATGGATAAAAATATATTTGGGAAAATGAACGGTTATTTTAAAATAGTTTTTTATCCTTTCGATTTTTCAGGACAATCGCAGCTGCTCAGTAATCAACAGCAGCAACAGCAGCTCAACTCGCCGAATCAAGTTGTCATGCATCCGATGAACAACAACAATAACAATAATGCGCCGAGCAGCAACATCATCAACAACAACAATAACAACAACATCAATGCCAGCCACAATTACCAGAACGAGCAGATAAGGCTAATGCAGCAGCAGCAGCAGCAGCAGCAGCAGCAGCAGCAACAACAACAACAACATCTGCAGCAGCAGCAAAAGCAACAACAACAGCAGCAAGGCCAAAGCCAGCAGCGTCTGAGCACCGGCACGAGCAGCAGTGGCATACCGACGCATCAGAAGCCCGTCTCCAGCGTTGCGCCGAGCTTCCCCGTCAAGTCGCCGATCTATCAGACGTCCTCGACCAAGATCCATCCGGTGATGCCGCAAACTTTGAGCCTCATCGGCCGAGGCCACTCACAACAGCAACAGCAGCAACAGTCACCCGGACAGCAACAACAGCAGCAATACGTCAACGCTGCGCCAAGTCCACAGAATCAAAATGTCCCGCAGAATGGACAGCAGCAGCAACAGCAAGAATCCGCATTCCCGGGTCGTCTCAGCTTCTCGGTACCAACGTCGCAAAATGTTCCTACGTCGGCCTATCAGGCGCAGCACTCGCCCCAATCGACCTGTTTTCCGGGATACGCCTACAGCCAGCAGAGCTTGGACGAGCGACTGAGCAAAGTGCCCGAGAAGATTGCCGGTGAGTTTGGCGAATTTGTGGATTGTGCGAGCAACATTATTATTATTAAACGAACTTGATGTATTTTTTTCAGCGATTGAACAACAACAGCAGCAACAACAGCAGCAAAGATTCGACGCGAATAAATACGAGCCGCATCAATCGAACAAAGCGTTCGATCAAGTGGTCAAGCAACACGAGCAACAGCTGCAGCAGCAGCACCATCAACAGTCCACAAAGTTGCAGCAGCAGCAGCAACAACAACAAACCGAGCATCCCATGCAGAATTACAAGCACGAACTGCCTCAGCAGCAATTCAAATCCGAGCAGAATCAAACTAAATTCGAGCATCTAGCAGCCAGGTGAGAATCGACGACGCCAAAAATTGTCGCACGAGTACAACTTTATTCGGAACTTTTTACGTCCGTGTGCAGTGTGTGTGTCGCGCGGAAGCGCACATGGAACGCGGGGCGACAGATCGCGAGTGACTTTATTAAAAACTCGTTTTCCATACTCGTATTCAGAGAAGTGCGCGCGCTACGATACATGCGCGGATATAGATATCTTTTTGATCCAATATTAATATCGAGGGACGAAAAAAAAATGTACTCGCTACTTTTTTACTGCACACTTTTTATTTCGTAAGCTCGAAGTCGCATCGAGAAAAAAGAAAAAGTACGAGAGTCGTTATAAGGTATATGGGTGGAAAAAATAGAATCTATCTCGCGAAGCCAGTATCAACGTTTTTAAAAGGCTTTCAATTAAACCGCGCCAATCTCGATTGAGCCTGTACAATTTGTAAAGCTTTCGCTTGCATTCATACATTAGTTTATGTATAAAACAAAACTATTCCAATAGATTCGAGCAAGCCCAGCAGCAACAGCAGCAGCACGTGAAATTCGAGGTACCAGTCAAATCGATACCCGAAGCGCCGCGACCCGAACAGACGTCGTCCCAGCAGCAACAGCAACAACAACAACAACAACAACAACAACAACAACAGGAGCAACACCATCAGCAGCCTCAGACGATCGTCAAGCAGAAGCCAGCTTTGCCGCCGAAACCTTGCAAACCGAATCCACCTCCGAGACTTACGCAGCACTCGACCATCGTCGAGCAGCATCAGCAGCAGCAGCCACAGTATGTGCCATCGATCGCTCCTTCGTCGTCGTCTACGACGACTACAACGACGACGTCGACGGCCGAAGCCCTCGTCGCGGCCGTCTCCGAGTCTTCCAAGGCTATCATCAGTATGCCGGCCAGGTACGGTTCTTCTTTTTTCTTTCTTTCTTTTTCTCTACGCGTTTATGCGAGTTTTAAAGAATTGGATATAGCCAAGCTCTCGGCGTCTAGAACAAATGGTTTTATGTATAAAATACTCACGCACGGGTCAGAGGGGGCACGTATATAGGAACTGTAAACTTTTGTCCTCTGGATTTATAACTCGGAATGTACGCGTTCGGGCGCCGAAAGTTTTCGTTTTATTTGGCATTTACTTATGTATATGAAAAGGAGTCAAGAAACTCCAAGTTTATAACGGAATTACGTATCGCGCGTGGACTGCGCTGCTCTCCGCTCGACGGACAAATTGAGACGCGCGCGATTTCGAGCGCTGCGACGAAAAATAAAATAAAAAAAAACTCATTTACACCACCTAAGGGGGGCTTATAGGCGATCGTCGTTTTGAGTTTTTCAACTGGTCGCGCTCGAGGCTAGAGAGAGAGAGAGAGAGAACGAGCGAGGTAGAGGGACAGTCGTTCGGGTTAATTATAAATGTCAATTGAGTGCACGATCGATTTGGCTTTCTCTCTTTCTATCGCTTGCTCTCTCTCTCTCTCTCTCTCTCTCCGCGTATCATCACGAGAATAGCTTTTTCGACTAGCCGGCAGCAGCACTACGGGGCGAAGAATCGATTGATTGTTCTCGCTCGTCGGTTCGTACACGGCTTCCTTTTTTTTTTTATCTCGCTGTACACCAGTAGTGCAAAATTTTGGATTTTGTTTTCCGCGCTGTTTTTTTCCTCATTTCAATTTCAACGATGATCGGTATAAAAAATTACGCTCGCGGGTGTCGAATATTCATCGCCGTTTTTATCTGCACGCTACACTTGGTCGTCGTGCTGCGATTCTTTTTGTTCCTGTTCTTCTGAGGCTGTTTTTTATGCGTGTCATGTAGCGCGTGTGCGCCCGCAGCACCACTATACCCAGCAATGATGGCTGTGCAGGAAATTTTACGAGTGTGAGAAATTTATATATCGCCCGAAAGAGAGACGAGATGAAATGAGAGAAAGAGTTATATACGTGGATTTGCATTTACGTGAGTTTTTTCCAATCTTTTACAGGCCCGATAAGGAGGAAGATGTATTGCTGCCGCCGTTGCCTGCGTCCGAGCCACCGCCCGACTCGCCGACGACGGACGCTCTGAGCAAGCAGCAGCAGCAGCAGCAACAAATGATCGAGTCGCGCCCGTTGACTCTGAAAAAGCCCGGCGAATCTCAGTTGCCAAAGTTCCGCTACGGCAAATCGAATCAGGTCCACGTGTCGATCAATCGACGAATCGAAATGCCGCCAGCTTTCCTATTTCCGGAAAATGAAATTCCCGCCGATCTCATGCAAACCGACGTTCAACAACAACAGCAACAGCAACAACAGCAGCAGCAGCAACAGCAACAACAACTGAAACAACAGCAGCAACATCACGATGTAACGGATAGCACGGCGTTGAGGAGAGTCATGAATGGCCCTGTGGTACTGAGCCCGTCGTCCAACGACTGTAATAACGACAAAATCGAAGATGCGGATATCGTCGAGGCATTGAACAACATCAATATGGATGAACAACATCATAAGTGAGCACGATCAACTATCTTGTGACCTTAATTATAACTGCTTCTGAAATTTGAAAATAATTATGTTTATTTTTTCATTTAGACCCGAGCCAATAGAGATCGAGACTCGAGATCCCAGCGCGAACAAGCTGGCCGCGGACGTGATACGCCGCAAGAAGGGCAATCTCAAATCCAGCACGGGCAAGGTGAATCTGTCACGGCGCGTGAGCTTCGATCCTCTGGCGCTGCTGTTGGACGCCAGCCTCGAGGGCGAGCTCGAGCTCGTGCGCAAAACGGCCAAGGAGGTGGCGAACCCGAGCTCGGCCAACGACGAGGGCATCACGGCGCTGCACAACGCCATCTGCGCCGGCCACCTCGAGATCGTCAAGTTCCTCGTGGAGTTCGGCTGCGACGTCAACGCACAGGACAGCGACGGATGGTACGGTCTTACAGATAACGGAGATTATTTGTTTATATTTGATAGTTGCGATATCGATTTTTGAATGATTTTTTACTCCGACAGGACTCCGCTGCATTGCGCGGCAAGCTGTAACAATTTGGCGATGGTGAGGTTCTTGGTGGAGCACGGCGCCTGCATATTCGCCACCACGCTGTCGGATCACGAAACGGCGGCTGAAAAGTGCGAGGAGGACGAGGAAGGCTTCGACGGCTGCTCCGAATATTTATACAGTAAGTCCTCTCTCTCTCTCTCTCTCTCTCTCTCTTGCTCTCTCTTTTTGGTTCAAGAAGCCAGGCAAAATTTTATCTCGTTTATTTTTCGCAGGCGTTCAAGAGAAACTCGGAATCATGAACAACGGCCAGGTGTACGCCGTTTTCGATTACGACGCGCAGCACAGCGACGAGCTGAGCTTGAAGAACGGCGACTCGCTGGTGATACTGCGCAAGGGCGACGACAACGAGCGCGAGTGGTGGTGGAGCAAGCTCAACCATCGGGAGGGCTACGTGCCGCGAAATTTACTCGGCGTAAGTATTCCTATAAAAAGCGTTTACCGCAGAGCTCGATCGATTGGCCATTCGTGATTTACAATAATTTCGTTCTCTCTTCTTGCAGCTATACCCAAGAGTGCAGCCGCAGAGCAAATCAGACTGAACACAGACTAATTCGTTAATTAATATTATCCTCTATCGATAAGCGATCATGCCTAATTAATTTTTATTTGTAAAAAGTAAAATGCACGCTTGCATTGAAAAAAAATACTCTATTTTCAATATTCTTATGAACGAAAAGAAGTGAAAATAATAACAAATTACGCAATGCATTTCGTTCGCGTATAATTGTACAAAAAAAAAGAGGATGAAACAGAATCATGCTTAATAAATTTTTTTTGATCGATCTATCTAAAGACATATCGTATGCGTGGATATATACGAAGCATGGACGGATTTTTGTGAATACACCGCATAATACAAAAAAAGAGAAAGAGATATTTGTTAAATAATAACAAAGATGCATTCATATCGAAAGAGAAATTATTTAATATAAAATTGTAAGTGGTAAAAGTATGTGCTTGCAAACTGAACGAAAAAGTCGTCATTTCGAATTACAAAAATGCACAATGTCGTGCAAACTATTATTTTTAATTGTATATAACTGTTAATACTTATCGAATGGGTAAAAAATTCATCAACTATGTCATTTTGTGTAACGATTTTTTTTTTCATTCAATTCGTATCATCGCAATCTTTATAGACAATACTATTATATGTTATACATATATACATATATAAATATTTGTAGAAATAGTTAATTTAAAAAAAAGTAGTATTTTCTCTTTATAATAAATTTTTCTTCTCTACCTATTTATATAGCTAGAAGTGAAACGTTCGTGATGTATCGTTCATATCAAAAATTGTGTGTTAATCGCATCGTTTCTATTATATAAAAAATATTGTATATTATATCAAAAAATTTATAAATGTATTTCAAAATCAAAATTTCATTGTGAGGTCGCGATTGACTTATATAAAATATATATATGAGATATTGTGTCGTGTAAGTAATTGTTCTTCTTTCAAATTTAAGAGCCTCTCATTCAACATAATACTCCGAAAATGATGGAGCATAATCGCACGAATTTATACGATGTACTTAAAAATGAGAGTAAGATTGATCATTGATTTGTCTCACCTAAATGTTTTAAGTTTAGATGAAGTCAAATGAATAACCAATGGCACAGAAAAAAAAGAGAGATGTAACAGGCGCCGATGATTTTTACTTTCTTTTTACCTCGCAAAATTTTTTAAACTATCCGACTGGATATTCGGATTTAAATGAAAATTTTACATTGCGATTGTGTAAATATTATATACATGATATCATATGAATTATATATGTATAAATTTATAGAAATGAGGTGGAAACTCTTATACTTGCCAACGTAATATTATATTATGAGACTTTTTAGCGATTATCATTGTTAAACTATTCTATCATCATGATAATGTATAGTTTTCCGAATTTTACGTGTAGTTAATAGAGAAATGAAATGCGTGCGTGTGATTACGTATGTTTGATTGTTTTATTCTTAGTTAAGAATTTCGCTCGATTTTTATCATAGATGACAGAATAAATTAATATTTATAATAGGATGTTTTAAAAACTTTCCGCGTGTAGGTTTATAATCGATAAACAACTTATAATCTAACAGTAGAGCCAATTTTACAACCAAAAAACACTACGACGAAATTTATAACAAAAACGAAATCGACAATTGAAATTGCATTCGACACATTATCGCCCACTTACTTATTCTATTGTTAATAAAACATGTGCCTTTGTAAGAGTAATAAATACATTTTAAGATTTATTTCCCGAAATTATATGAAAAAAAGAAGAAAACTGATGAATCGTTTATAATAAAAAAATTAAAATAATTATCACGTATTTAATTATTATACATTGATCTCATATTATATTATTATATTATATTATATAATACTTTGATCTCATTTTATACTTTTTGCTATTTATATGCTCATTCATTGTCTAGTATTTTAGCACAATATCACAGCAATTTTTCATGCTTTATTTGAAGTAAATTGCATAATACTGCATCAACTCTACGAACCTTATGTGGACTCGCGGATTGTGATGTGTTTCTACTCTGCCAAGCTGATTTGAAATAATAATTAGAGATAATTAGAGTTAGTACGACGTAACATTTCATTTTTTGCCGGTTGTCGATGTAACTTTCAATCTTTTCAAGGGCATGACAGTACTTTTTTTAGGAAGGCCATATTTTTTCCTCAAAAAAGTCACCAAGTTAGGTTTTCAAACTGGTTCAAATATTGTAAGGATAATTGATGCTGAGCGCAGCAAAGTCCTACACATTCGATATTGATAATTTTCGATATTTTACTCTAACTGCGATAACTCATGCAGGGATAAACCAATCGATCTGAAAATTTTACACAGCATTCTTAAGGTGTTGACGGAGTGCTGTATACTTTTTTAGCAACATCAGTGTATCCTAATGTGCAAAAAATGCATTTTTATGCAATTTTGAGTTTTGCATCAATATTCGTGTGTAAATTTTGTAATATATATTTTGTGGGTTATTTATGGATAATTTTTTTTTTGTATACATTCGATATTGCTTATTTTTGATGTTTTATTCTAATTGCGATAACTCATGCAGGGATAAACCAATCGATCTGAACATTTTACTTAGCATTGTTTCGGTGCTGATGGAGTGCTGTATACTTTTTTAGCGACATCCGTATATCCTAATATACAAAAAATGCCTTTTTATGCAATTTTGAGTTTTGCACCTCGCGACATCTCCACTTCGAAAAAACGTAATTTTTGTTTGCGATCGGTCTTACTTGTGTATCGGCATTTAACATTGTACTTAAGACAAGTATATCTTATGTGGTGTTTTGAGTACCACTACACTGAGCGTAACATGATTGTGATATAGTATAATTATGTCGTGTTTTGAGTATCACTACTGAGCAAAAATTTATGATATGTTTCTTTATTATATGCTAATAAATAAATATATGTTAATTTATGATTTGTTAATTTATTTATTTGTCTCGATGTTTCATCATTTTGCGCGGTATTGATAGGTACGTTTTAAGATCATTTGTATTGATCTCGTGCTTGGGTATTGCCTTCATGCACACTTTTGACGTGTCTGCATAAATATTTTCTATGTTTAAATTTTTTTCCGCATAAAACACAAGCGTGATCAATGTCTTCGTGCTGCGTTTTAATGTGAGTTATAAGACGATCCTTTTGAGAAAATGTCTTGCCGCACTTATTACAATAAGTGGTCTTATTATGCATCAAATTCATGTGTTTTTTAAGATTACCCTTTAGTGTGAATGTCTTTCCGCACACTTCGCAAGTATGTGCCACACCTTTATGCATCGCATCGATGTGAATCTTGAGAGAAAATTTTTGTGTGAAAGTCTTTGCACATAGACCACACGCATGCTTAACACCATTATGAACTCCATCGATGTGGACCTTGAGATTACTTTTTCGTGAAAATTTTTGACCGCATATATTACATGGATGTTTAACACCATTGTGTGCATCGATGTGAATCTTGAGTGCAGCTTCAGTTAAGAATTTCTTCCCGCATACTTCGCAAGTAGGTGCCATACCATTATGCATCGCATCGATGTGAATTTTGAGATAACATTTTTGTGGGAAAGACTTTCCACATACACCACACGCATGTTTAACACCATTATGTACTGAATCGATGTGGACCTTGAGATAATCTTTTCGTGCAAATTTTTTACCGCATATATTACATGGATATTTGGTACGATTGCGTGCCTTATCAGTTTGGGTTTTGCGTTGACTATTTTGAGCAAATGTTTTTTCATTTGCATCAAATGCATCACTGAGTTCACCATCCAAATTCAATTCCTCTTTTACTTCGTCGACAATTTCTTCTTTAATTTTCTTTTGAGTCTGATAATCGCAACTATTTTTCATATGCTGCCATTGATCTGGATAATCGTCCTCGATTTTCTTGACTACTAATAAGTTAATGCCGAGCTTCTCGTCCTTACATTCGAATTCTATTTCCAAATCGTTATTAGGTCCAGAATTTTCATCATTTTCACGAAGCCCATAAATCTGGAAATGAGATTAGTAAAAATACTTGATCAAAATATTGACTAAACAGTCCCACATCAACACTTACTAAATTTTCTCGACAAAAACTCGAGAATTCGTCGTTTTTAGCATCGCATGCATTGTCAATTATCTTATAATCTTCATTTTTAATTGGGGAAACATCATCTGGTTCCTTCTTCACTCTGCAATATTCCCAATAATATAAAGTATTATGCCATTTTTTTTTAAATTTCATTCTCACGAAACAAAAATTACCTGACATCAGAGTTATATACATCACTGAAGTCCATGTTTATCACTCGGAACTTGATCAACGACTAATTGTTTTGTAATGATGTTACACATCGAGCTAGGTAACATAAGTGTAATAATATTTACAAATCGTGAAATGAAAGTTTGAGAAAATTTATGTCAACAGAGACACTCTAAACTTATCATTTATTATTGGAGAAATTATACTATTGATCTCGTAATAAACAATTAGCCATTTTCTTTGAATTGTATCTTATTACAAAGAAATTATAAATTATTGAACACTTCATGAATCGAGCTTATGATGTGTCCTATACTCCTTTTCGCATAATTTTTTTCGACGCGCAAAATATGAAACAAAGTTAACGTGAGCGAATGAAGGGTTTATATACATTTTTATATTACACTAACGCCAAATACGTGACTACAGTCGCATCTATATCATTTACCATTTTTACACAACGAGCGAATATCGTACATCTATGTAATCTATGTGTGATAAATATGCATGGTTAGTCATGTAGTCAAATATATATCTATGTATATTGTCACGTGGGCACACCGGGCCAGCTTAACGCGTACATACAGCTCTATATGTGTTGGCATGCCATGTGCAAATTCCTTTGGTCGCAACGTTGTCAATACACGCTGAGCACAAAACATCGATAAGTGAAATCTATTTCGTACGTGCGAATTACGAAAACCTGTATTCATATATACCTATACTAATGTACATGTAGGGAACATCAAACTAAAAAATACGCCCTATTTTTGTGTTCTACTTCCAATTATACCAATAATAATTTTAACGGCTTTACCAAATTAGCTGACACAAAAAACTCATTGTAACATTGATTTATTATGATACTCATTGAAGCTACTATTATTAATTTCATACGGCTGAAACAACTATTATCATGATGTCGTATGCTATTTCGTTATTTACCATTCAGTCGCTCAGCATTTTGCAACTGTGGTTGCCACTAGTATATAAACAAATAAATTACCCATTACATACAAATAAGTTACCCACTCAATTGTAAACAGTATGATTACAAACGACTTTAACGTACGTTCTCAAATACATCAATCATGTTTATAGTAAAAATAAATTAGTTTGAACGTTATCTTTCTCGACGAAACAAGTCATAACACCGAAAGATAAATGCTACTCATTCAATTTCTGTGACAAAAAATTGAAGGATCCATCGTTTAATTTAAGTACTAAAATGAATAAAAGTGAGAGAAACCCCGAAGAACTTGTCTCGGCAAATAATTCAAATGAACACGACATTGTTGTTCCAGACGAAAAAAGACTCGTTTGTGATATTTGCCAGGAGGCATTCGCACTAGAATCT